CCCCAAAACCCCCAAAACCCCAAAACCCCAAAACCCCATGAATTAGGTTAGAAATTGATTTCAACATGGCAGAAATTAGTTGGTTAGAAGTCTTGGTATCTGACTGATAATATTTTTGGGTTTTGAATTTTGCCAGAAATGTCTAAAGTCTAAATCATAGCTTACATTCAGGTGTCTTCTGTAAAGCATCTTTATTCAATTTTGACTCCCTACAAGGTTAGACGAGAATACTCTTCGATTTCTTTGTGAGAATTCTGAGCACTAAAGTTATGAGTCTTTCTTCTGAACAAGCTATGATTGTCCTGAGGGTGAGATGAATATTGCTCCTATGAATATAATAATAATAGTACCTGGGTAGATCTTAATGAGCAAACTCCGTTAATTAATTTGTATGTCTTTGAATCCCATTTTCCATTAAAGTCATCCTAAGTATTATGAAGTGTTTTACCATTAGTTCTGTAATTCTTATGGCATAATCACCATTTGTTTCTGGTTTGCCGAATAACTTTGGAAAATCATCTTTTAATTGTTTTTCTCCGTCATCGGATTCATCTAAAATGAGCACATTCGACTTTTGGTGTTGCACCAGCAGCTGTTCCTTCTTGTCAAGTAGTGAAGCCACCAATGTATTGAGGTTACGCATGTTCTTCGAAAACTCAACTGCATCAAGTTCTCTGACATACTTCTGCTCTGCAATCTCAAACAGCTTCAGTCTCTGGTGGATGTTCATGGGGTTCTTCTTGTTGAGACAGCAACGGAACACAACTGAGAAGACACCGAGAGTGTTGTAGATAAGATCAGTTAGTTTCCAATCATATTTTGCTCGTCTAAGCATCGCTTGTTTGGCTTTTTCAGATAGGTCCTTCTTTGAGAAATTTTCATCTGAAGAAACTTCAGACAAAGAGAGTTGAATCCCCTGATTTTCTTTTTCCTATTCCTTTATGAAGAATCTTACATTTTCAAAATTTTGAATTTTCAATGAAGTCGCGTGAATCACTAAAATTTGAAATAGTTATATGGAAAGGAAATTCTATTCCATAACAAATTATGCTAATGATGTTGATATATAAAGATAAGGAAGACTTACCGGGAGAATTATCAGGCTTTTCAACTTTGTACATATTGGAGAATATTGAATAGAAGAAAAGCTTTTCAGAGAACAGATTGACAATGAATCCTCCTGCAACAACGAATACTCCCATCAGTCCTCCGATGTTCCCAATGACATCCAAAATGGTGATGACTCCTCTATCGTATGACTGTGTGAAGGGATCTTTCACAAACCTCACGTCTAAAAGTTAATCAAAGCATACTTAGTAGGTTATATGATTCTGTATCCTCAATAGAGAATCTGTTGTCTATTCTCCTGATCTCATAGATGTCGCTCTTCTTGCCTCCAGGTTTGTAAGCAAAATAGTTATCCTGAGTTTCAATCTCATTTTTCCTATAGATAATAATTTCTCAATTACTGGATGTATACATTCGAGGTCACAGTGTTCCCTGGAACTAAGTAATAAAAGAATCTATCGTCTATGTAAGTCTTTATTGGACTATTATAGTCATCGAAGTCAAAGTATGAGTTGACCTAAATACTAAATTAGTAACCCTACCACATAGATTCCGACTTCAAGCTCTTGTACCTTCTGGTCAATTTGTGCTGTAGTGAGACATGTTACTGAGCTAGTGGCATTATCTCATCTATTAAAGTTGATTTCAAAGTATTGGTAGGCATCTGACAACACATTCCCTTGCAATTTGAACTCTCTGCTATTAGGACAGTAATACTCATTGATTCCAAGATCTTTCACCTAGAGGTGTCAGATGAGTAACTGAAGTCATACACGTGTTAAATATCAGAAAGTCACATCAAATATGAGAGTTGCTAAGTCTCAGTACTAGTTGTTCTGAGGTAAGACTGTGGAATTAATTTTATGCTATTTTATTAATATCCCTAACAACTAATTTAACTACCTTCTTTTTTCTCAAAATTTCAAATAACTAAATCAAAGAAGTATTAAAGCGGTCAAGTAAAGTTCCTTTCAATGAGAGTATATCCAGGCTTATTGAAACTTAGTTTGCGGGAGTCTTTTCAGTCATACCTCAGTTTGATTCGCATACTTAAAATTATTTCCACATTCTGTTAGTCCAACAGTCACATTTCTGAAAGTAGTCTCATCTAGAAGTTTAGAGAGAAACTAAAGGTCCCTTACTTGCTAATTTTGTAATAATTCTGACTTCGGGTGTGAATGCTTCTTCAAAATTCATGATATCTATATCGTCTTCATTTAAGATTCCTGTAATTGCAAACTGGAATGTGCTACTTCTAAACATCATCTCCCTGTATTACTGTAGATCTACTATCTCATTGTCCCGTCTGAGATCTATAGTCAAAAATATAACCATTGTTCGTGCTTTAGCTTAACCAGAGGAAGGTAAGACTATTTATTGCTCTCTCAGATCCGCTCATCGGGTGAGTTTTAGTGTCAAATTCTATCAATTTGGGATCCAAAACATATAAGATGAGCTTGGAGGTCCCTAATTCTTCTTAAAAGTGACATTTTGTTAGTGAGAGTCTTGGAAGCTCTCTGAAATAACAAGTAAAGAGTTTACATAAAAACATCAATCTATCCTTAGAAGCTATTTTTAGTCAAATTTGGGATATTTTGGAAGTTGGGAAAGATTTAGCCGAAGCAAGGATTTAAATAGCGAAATGAATTAAGTATTCTGGATAATGGATCTATGGTCAGACCCAATGAAATTAACCATCTGATATCGACCTTTTATCAAATGGATAATAATAGCGTTTTTAAAGGCTTAATCTCTTTGACTTGAATTGTAGAACTGTTTTTGATTAATAACTTAATTGCCATATTAATTTTGAGAAAACACTTTAAACATAGAAAAAGGATTTAAGAATAAGATTTATTGATCCTCATTACGATTATAAACCTCTAAAATGTAGAAAACATTCATAAAGACATTGGAAAAGATTCAGTGATAGTTCCGTATTGCGATGGAGGAGCACTCCCACCATTTTCTCTTTAAGTAGGTTTAAAAGTGGATTGATAGGAATGCACATATTTTTGAAAATAAATTGAACTGTTTTTTACGAATGAAATCAAAATCTCAAAGAACAGAAAATTAAGAAGTTATAAACAGATTAGTGATATTCTTGTAATTATTTGAACTTACTTTTGACAGAAGTATTTATGCTCTTTGAACTGTTCTTGTTTGCTATAGAGTGAGAGATTGAACTTACAAAGCATGATGCTGAACATTGTCCATGTGTAGATCAGGATCACCACTTTGATTCCCAGAGATACAACCTATTTGTCAGAATGGATTTTACTCCTCCAAGTAGGGTTTTGAACTCTCTAGGCTGTTAGCATAAATAACTTACTCGTTGCCTTTGTAGGTAAGTTTGATTGTCTTTGGGTACCTATAAGGCACGTAAAGGACTTTAACCAGAAGAGATCTCTTGATGAAAATGTTGCAATAGCAAAACATTTGGCGTGTTGCTAGCACAACCGCTCAAGGTTATATTGGCTTTGTATTGCTTACATATCAAGCCCTCTGACTGAGTCAAGGGCAAAATTAGCAGATTTTTTCATCAATCTTGACATTTGTAATAAATATTATTATTATGGTTTAAAATATTCTTTTTGAACATTGCAATTCTTTAGAAGCTTCAAGGGGTTTTGGGGTTTTGGGGTTTTGGGG